ACAAAAATATTGAAAACAAAACTAATGTTTATTGTGTGCTTACTACATACCAAATTCTCTTATTATTATTATTTTTACACACTAAGTTCTGGGGTACATGTGCAGATCTTGCAGGATTTTTACATAGGTATACACATGCCATGGTGGTTTGCTGCCTCCATCCCCCTGTCACCTACATTAGGTATTTTTCCTAATGTTACCCTCCCCAATCTCCCCATCCCCTGCTATCCCTCCCCTATCCCCCTACCCTACAGCAGACCCCAGTGACTACACACCAAATTCTAAGTATATCAGATGAATTGACTCATTCAATCAATACTTACAGAAATCCTACCAGTTAACTGCCATTATCGTTATGTCTTATGGATGAACAGACTCAAGTTCAGAGGGGTTAAGTAACCTGTACTAAATACTGCTTCATAAAAGGTTTAGATGGAGGCTTAATAGAAGGAATGTGTATATTGGATATAGACAGAGAAAGTATACTCTTCCCCCAACAAGGCAAGAGGAACTGTCAGGAAAAGTGATTATTCTGAACATTCATCAAGCAGTGCCATTACTGCTGCAGGAGGCATTGTTTCACAAACAAGTTAGCAAGCTCAGGGCTGGCAGGCAGAAAAATGAGAATTAAGAAGAATCTGAAGAGGACAAACTCTGGGGCAAAATTTGAGGGTGGGGAGATTTGCTGTTTAGCATGCTCTGAAGCTTGGGCCAGCAGTTTTCACTAATTCTTACATACTCTGATGTGGCCGCAGCTCTTAAGAGTCAACCTGACTGGACAGGCACTGGCTTAGGAACTAAGGAAACCGAGGTAGAAAAGGCAGAACATGACATCCACCACTAGGAGCTTACAGTCTAGATACTAAATTCTAACTGTGAAGAGGAATCCTGCGGCGCAAGGATCATGAGATCTGGAGTCAGAAGTTCTGTGATTAGCCTTTAGGTCTGCTTCATGCTTCTTCTGTGTGATCTTGGGAAAGTTGCTGATCTGCAAGCCTCATTTTCTTCACTTAGGAAAAGGTGGTAATACTACTACTTTCCTCATAAGGACCTGAGTTCATACTTTATAAACTGTAACACATTAACAAAGACTAGCTCTTGTAAAGAGAGTAGTATAAGGGGCTTAAAAAATACACAGTGCTTTTCTTCTTTACTAACTATATTCTAAATGTTCTCCAGCATTAGCAATACCTCACTGATCAACCCATAGCGGGTCTCTTAAATGCGTGGGAATCTAGGATAGATGCAAACCTGAAACAATACATTCCAGGGATGGCTAGCCTGCCTTACTCCTCAGCTACAGATTGATTACATCTTCTGGAGTGACATTTTGGCTGTATTTGCCAATGAGGCTTCCCTTCTCTGCTCTCCAAGCCTCCCCTGGGCCATCCTCCTAACCCACATGCCCTCAAACTGGATGCCTTGCCAGCTTGGCAGCCCAGAAACAGTCCAGCCAGAAGGGTGGCAGCAAGGAAGGTCCCTGGGGCTTCAGGAATGAACGGCAGATTGCCTCCTTGCTGGTGATTGCAAGGTTGAAGCTTGCTCAGAAAGGCAGAAATCTCAGGGTTATGGGGGGAGGTAAACTTGGAAACCAGCAAAAATGTCTTAAAGTCTAATCTAGCAATCAGATGGGATAGCAGAGGGGGACCTGTCTGTTTCTGGGTTTCTTTTCACACTGTTGGATTGTGACCAGCTTTAAAAACTGCTCCCAGATTTGTTATCTAAAGCAGAATTAATGCCCTAAAACAAAGAGAAGTTATACCATTAGAGTCATACTTGCCTATATTCTGACAGCTGCTTTTCTTTTTGATGTCATTGGTGGATTTAGCTCTTACACTACTTTGCGTTAGATTGATTTATGGTTTGTCTGTCCCTCCCACTAAATCATGGGTTTGTTGTAGACAGGATCTATGTATAGATCATTTTTAGCACCTAGCACAGAACCTATCACACAGAAGACATTCGTTAACTACTTATTAGACTAAGGTGTTGTGTAATTGATAATTCTGGGGCAGGCAGGCATCAACTGGGTTATCAATAACATTTTGTTGTGGAGTAAAATATTAATCTAAGAGAGTTGAATGGCTTTCCATCAAGTGATGAAGACACCGTGCACTTTAACTAACAACCTAACGAACGTTCCAGCAACAATGTAACTGCTCTTTGTAGGGTTAATGTATCTTAGTACTAGGAAAGTTAAATTGCTTACATTAAAATATTGAGAACTTTAAAAGCTTAAAGGAAGGATAAGAAACATGACTTGTCATCATTATTGCTGAAATCTGAAAGACGATTTCAAGATCTTAATTCAAATTATTTACTTTACAAATAAGGAAATTGAGGCCCAAAGAGTATGATGTGCCTGAAGGCGCCCAGTTTTCTGCAAAGCAGAGGGAAGAGTGTGTCAACCTTTTGCCCTGAAGATGAGGAGATCCTGGGGGCAGTGTGGAATATGCCTAACACAGCAGGAGGATATTTAGGCAGACAGAAGCAGCACGATTGTAGGACAGATCTTTATCATAATTATTTACAGAGTCAAAGGTCAGGCTCACTGAGATAGCACCAAATATCAGATCCAAAGGATGAACGGGGCTATAAAGTAAATCAAAAGGCCCGAAATCAGGAGACTAAGAGTCAGTAACGCATGCGATTAAGATCATAGATTTTAGCATCAGGCATGCCTCATTTTAAATCCCAAAGCTTCTACATCTAGCTACATAATCTCTGGCAAGCTGCTTATTCTTCCCTAAGCCTTCTTTTTCTCAGCCATAAAATGGTGCTAATATCTGTAGCTGTTTAAAGTTATAGCTTTGATTTTTAATATTTTTAAAAAATATATAAAAACATTCTTAGCACACAATGATTAGACAGACAAAGAATCTGCCGTTAAAATATTTGCATTCTAATGAGGAGAAACATAAGCAAACCAGAAAATAAATCAACAAGCTTAAAATTCAATTAAGCACAGTGCTGTGATAAAAAAAATGGCCTATAACTTGACACTGAGGCCATGGAAAAGAGGAAGCCATAGAAAACCCTGTGGGACAAGTTTCCTTAGGAAACAGAAGGCACACATTCAAAGGCCCTATGGCAAAAAAAAAAAAAAAAAAAAAAAAAAAAGCTTGTCCTGTTTCAAGGTTGGAAAGGAGACTAGCAAACCTAAATACTGTAAGCAAGAAGAACTTGGTGCAATATGAGATTAAAGAGATCAGCAGAGAACAGCAAAGCCGTAAGAAAAGTACAGAGGACAGACTTTAAATTATTTTAATCCCGGTACTGAAATAATTTTTAGATCAACATTTTTAAAAATTATCTTGGCTGTTGTGACAAACAGATTGTTAGAGTAAGGACTTCAATAGTAACATGGATTACTCTATTGCACTGGTCCAAATGAGAAATGATAGCGATTTCAATCACAGAGGTGACAATGGAGCTATTGGTAAAAAACTGAACCATGTGTATTTTCAGAGATAAAACCAACAGGACTTGTTAATGGACTATGTGATAATATATAGTTAGTAATTTTAAAAATAAAGAAAAAAGGGGAATCAAGGATTACTCCAATAATTAGAAGCATTAGACAGAAGAGTGGAGATGTTTACTGAAGTAGAAAGGATGGGTAAGTAATAAATTTAGCAAAGAAAATGAATTGAAGTGTTTTTTGAACATCTTAGGGTCTTTTATGATAGGGCAAATAGACACTCAAAAGAGGCTGCCAAGTAGTCAGTTGAATCTTGGAGTTCAAAGCTCATAAGAGAGAACCATGTTAGATACGTATATTTGGTAGTTTTAGCATTATTTATTCAGCATTATTTAATCACTTCTCATAATTTAATCATTTAGTTTTTCAAATTTGATTTGATCATTTAACATTATTTAAAATCAGTGGAGTGAATGAGGTCACAGATATTGAACATAAACAAAGAAGAAAAGGATGATCATGCCCTTGGCAACAGAAAAATTTCAGTAGAATAGAAGCCTCAGGAGCCAGACTGAAGCAGATTCTAAACAAATCTTTGAAAAGTTTTCACAAAAAAAGGCAGCAGTTTTAAGTGGGAAGCAGGAAAGAGGATATGAGGTCAAAGAAGGATTTGAGATTTTCTTTTTAAGAGAGAGGATACATCTTAGAGAATGATTAAATGTTGTAGAAAATTAAAACAGTCAGGGAAAGAGACATAGGAGAAAGAGGGAAAAACTGCCACAGCAAGGTACTTGAGATGTGAAATCTGAAGCCCAATGGAGAGATGAGCCTTTGCCATGAGTTGGGAGGAACCTTCCTTTATGCCTGAATGGAGACAAAGGATACAGTACAGAGGAATGTATTGTTCTTGGAAAAATTAGAGTATTCTGATCTAGTTACTTCTATTTCCCTATTCAAGTGTGAAGCAAGGTCATCAGTTCTTAAAAGGCTGGGGGCTGACTGGGAGAATAAGAACTAGAAAGGAAGAGTTTGTGAAAGTTAGAGAAAACAATATTAGGCAAATCAGCCATTATTTATGTCATTAAATATAGCAATAGTCCGAATTTAGGAAGCATGCTGGTCTGAATAACAGGAAAGAACTATAGTGTCATGAGTTTCATTTTAACTGCTTGATATTACAGAAGGCATTTCCATATAACTATCCTCTTCAATCCTTAAAAATGAATATTATTTCTTTTTTAAAAATCTGAAGGCTGAGGCTCAGAAAGATTATATAATTCACCCAAAGTTTTAGCGCTATTAATTGACTGAAATTAGGACTTTAACTCACTTCTGTCTTACTTGAAATCCCCTGTGTTTTGGTTCTGTGATTATATCAATTAGAAAGCAACTGATAATCATATCAAAAACATTATTTATAGGTGGTATATTAGTTTTCTAGGGCTACCATAACAAAATACCACAGACTAGGTGGCTTAAACAACAGAAATTCATTTTCTCACAATCTGGGGACTAGAAATTCAAGATCAAGGTGTCTTCGGGGTTAATTTCTTCTAAGTCTTCTTTCTTTGACTTGTAGATGGCCATCTTGCTGGTTCTTCACAGGATCTTTCCTCTGTGTATGTCTGTGACCTAACCTCTTCATATGAAGATACCAGTCATATTGGATTAGGGTTTACCCTAACAAGCTCTTTAAAAACTTTATCTTAAAATACACTCACATTCTGAGGCACTTGGGATTAGGACTTGAACATACAAATTTTGAGGGGATGTAATTCAGCCCATAACAAATAATAATAATGAAAGTCAAACTGTAGTGGAATGATGACAGACTTGAAGTTGAAAATATTAAATCGGACAAAGCTTTTAAAATTGTGATGATAAAACAGAGAAATAAGAAAACAAATTATTTGAAGGGAGCAAAACTTGAGAAAAAAAGTATTTTAAATTTTTTTTTTAATTTTAAGAGATAGGTGACTGAATTTATAGTTTAAAATTTGCTGAAGAAACAAGAGAATAAAACATTAAAACATGTTGAAATGTTTAAATAGGTACTATAATACATAAGGCTTTAATTCTAAAAGATATCATTCTGTAGGGAAATTATCCCAGATTTTTCTCAAAGGAAAAAAGAAAGAATAACTAATGTATAAAATATCTACTGTATAAGAAATGCTATTTTGAAAACCTTTTTTGCCAAATTATTCATAACATACCTGTTTATCATATGACTGTTTATTAATGTAATTTTGATGACATAAGGGTTTCCTGAAGTATCAAAACAAATTTCTGCATGTCAGATTGGCACAGCAGAGGACAAAGAATAACATGCATACACAACACAAATTTTATTTTTATCCTAAAGTAAAACATGCTCAAGATATATCTTGTTGAGTACAAAATGTCACAATAATCTAGTACAACAGTGAGGATAAGAATCTGTTTAATACTCAGGAAAGAAATATTACTAAATTCAAGAAGTCAATGGAGAATTGAAAGAAGTTTTCTTTATGAAAGAAGTTTTCTGTAGCTGTGTTCTTACACATATTTATCGTGGGGAAAAAGTTGTTTTTTGGGTTTTTTTTGGGGGGGGGTTGTTGTTTAAAGTGCTTTCCCACAGGACAAAGAAGCAGCACAGCTTCTGTGTCTCAGGGTAAAAAAGATAGCAGACAAGCTTCAAGGTTCACATTATGGGGTTTTCTTTTACCAAACCACGAATAAGTTGTTTTGGAGAATGGAAATAACATTTTGAAATCCCTTAACCTCAGTGATCCCTGTTCTGTGAGGTCCTCAGATACTAATCAGACAGTTGCTCATATCAGTTAAATCACTGAAATTTAATTAACTGTAAGTACTCAGTGTTGAGGTATGGAGTTGAGGGAAGCAGACATTGAGAAAAACTTTTTTTTTTAAATTATACTTTAAGTTCTGAGGTACATGTGCAGATCGTGCAGGGTTGTCACATAGGTATACACATGCCACGGTGGTTGGCTGCATCCATTCCCCCGTTACCTACTTTAGGTATTTCTACTAATGTTATCCCTCCCCAATACTCCCACTCCCTGATATCCCTCCCCTAGCCCTCCCAATCCCCTAACAGGCCCCAGTGTGTGATGTCCCCCTCCCTATGTCCATGTGTTCTCATTGTTCAATACCCATTTATGAGTGAGAACATGTGGTGTTTGGTTTTCTGTTTTTGTGTCAGTTTGCTGAGAATGATGATTTCCAGCTTCATCCATGTCCCTGAAAAGGACATGAACTCATTTAAAAAAAAAAGAGAGAGAGAGAGAAAAGCTTTTATTGTAGTAGTGTCACTCTTAAGTTGCATTGCCCTCAATTATGCCATCCGCATATCTTTCCTTTCTTCCTCATTACAAAATGAGGACGTTGGCTTTTCTGATTTCCAATGTCCTTCTGTTTTTTTCATGTTTTATGAGTAAGGAAGACATTAGATTTATTTTTAAGATATTTTAAGTGCATTTTAAAGGTTGATAGATGTCTATCTCTTCTAGCAAGATATTAGACTATAAGAATCTGAAAATTCCCTGGAGACCAACAATACAAACGCAGAAAAACATAATAGGAAAATGTATTTTACGTGCATATCTATTTCTCAAAACAGAAAGCCTAATCAGATATCAGAAAGAAATAATAAATAAAAACAGGAGTACCGAGCTAGGAAGCTGGCCTGTACATAACCTTGGCTGTTGGGATTTTGGTCTCAATACCCTAAGGGATAGAATTTTAAAGCCCATGACGGGGCAGAAATGAAGGGCTTGACCCCATCCAAGGCTCAGACCAACCAAAATGTCCACATAATCAAAGACCCTAGAAATCTGCACCATTTGTGAATGAACATAATAGAAAAACAGAATCCACTACGAGTCAAAGGATGATTTCAGCCTTGAAGACCTGGTTAGAAAAATAATTTCCTGGAGAATTAGAAACCTGGTGTTTGCACTCCACGTAAGTGTGTGTTTTGAAATTAAACCAAGTACTGATTCAGAAAAAACCAGTGCAAAACCTCTGAAATTACATGAAGAATTTCAAGAAACAGATAGATTAGAATAACTGGACTATTGTAAACTAAGGAGATTGTACAGGGAAATAAGATTGAGGATGTAACGAGGCCCCTCGAGGATCATTTTAAGGAGTTTCATGCTTCAGCATGAGAAGAAAACCAACATTTAGGAAATACTCATTTCTTACTTCATTTGATTATAGAAACAGTCTCATACAGTAATTTTTAAAATGAAAAAATTGAGAAGTATTTTAGAAAATGCTTCTGAAGTACAAAGTGGCTAAGTGGTAAATTGAACCACAATCTTCTGATCCCAAATCCAGGTTACTTTTTCTATATTGCATGACATTATTTCCTCTCAAAATAAGCAAATTAGTCATGCCTCCAAATTTGAGCTTCAGAATTCCAACTCATTTCAGTTGGATTAGAATTTTTCCTAATTTTTATGGTTTGTTTCTTATCAATAGAAGATCCTTTTTCTTTCTCTGTAGTTAAGTCAGTACCTATTACAAAAGTAGACTTCTTAGCCTATAAGCATTGCATACAGGTGGCAAGAATTTGCCAACTACAAATATAACTGTTTGAAAAATTTTTTTTAAATCTCTGTTTTTATTAAGGTATTTATTTAGTATTATTGAGTTCTGCTCTTACATAATACTTCATTTTCAGGTAACACAGAGCCCTGCCAAGTATTGGTATCTAGGTAATGCTAACCATTTAAAATGAATGTTTCAATACTGAGTCTACCCATCCATGAGCATAGAATGTGTTTCCATTTGTTTGTGTTGTCTATGATTTCTTTCAGCAGTGTTTTGCAGTTTTCCTTGTACAGGCCTTTCACCTTTTTGATTAGGTATATTCCTAAGTATTTTATTTTAATTTTGCAGCTATTATAAAAGAGGTTGAATTATTGATTTCTCAGCTTGGTTGCTGTTGGTCTATAGCAGAACTACTGATTTGTTTACATTAATTTTGTATAACAAAACTTTGCTAAATTCAATTATAGGAACTTTTAAAGGGGTCTTCAGGGTTTTCTAGGTAAATGACCATATTATCAGCAAACAGCAACAGTTTGACTTCCTTTTTACTAATTTGTATGCCCTTTATTTCTTTCTCGTCCGATTGCTCTGGTGAGGACTTCCAGTATTATGTTGAATAGAAGGGGGAGAGTGAGCATACTTGTCTTGCTCCAGTTTTCAGAGGGAATGCTTTCAACTTTTTTCTTTCAGTACTATGTTGACTGTGGGTTTGTCATATATGGCTTTTATTACACTGAGGCATATCCCTTGTATGCCAGTTTTGATGAGGGTTTTAATCATAAAAAGATGCTGGATTTTGTCAAATACTTTTTCTTCTTATATGGAGATGATCATGTGATTTTTGTTTTTAATTGTGTTTATGTAGTATGTCAGTTATTGACTTGTGTATGCATCCCTGGTATGAAATCCACTTGTTCATGGTGTATTATCTTTTTGATGCTCTGTTGGATTCAGTTAGCTAGTATTTTTTTAAGGATTTTTGCATCTATGTTCATCATGGATATTGGTCTATAGTTTTTTTGTTGTTATATTCTTTCCTGGTTTTGGTATTAGGTGGATACTGTCTTCATAGAATGATTTAGGGAGAATTTGTTCTTTATCTTGTGTAATAGTGTCAGTAGGATTCTTAACAATTACTTGAACATCTGATAGAATTCCACTGTGAAATTTGTCTGGTCCAGAACTTTTGGTAATTTTTTTTTTACTACCATTTCAATCTCACTGCTTGTTATTGGCCTGTTCAGGCTGTCTAATTCTTCCTGATTTAAGCTAAGAGGATTGTATATTTCCAGGAATGTATCCATCTACTCTAGGTTTTCTAGTGTATGTGCATAAAGGTGTTCATAGTAGTCTTGAATGATCTTTGGTATTTCTGTGGTGTCAGTTGTGATATTTTCCATTTTGTTTCTAATTGAGCTTATTTGGATCTTCTCTCTTCTTTGAATTTTCCTTATAGAAAATATTTAAAATTGAAACTCAATTGCTTCTCTCTTCTTGGTTAATCTTACGAACCGTCTATCAATTTTATTTATCTTTTCAAAGAACTAGCTTTTCCTTTCATTTATCTTTTGTATTTATTTTGTATCCATTTATTTAGTTGTGTTCCAATATTGGTTATTTCTTTTCTTCTGCTGGGTTTGGTTTGTTCTTGTTTCTCTAGTTCCTTGAGGTATGACCCAAGATAATCTATTTGTGCTTTTTCAGACTTCATGATGTAGGCATTAAAGGCTGTAAACTTTCCTCTTAGCACCACTTTTGCTGTATTCCAGAGGTTTTGAGAGGTTGTATCAGTATTATTGTTCAGTTCCAAAAATATTTTTAATTTTCATCTTTATTTCATTTTTGATCCAATGATCATTCAGGAACAGGTTATTTAATTTACATGTATTTGCCTGGTTTTGAAGGTTCCTTTTGGAATTGATTTCCAATTTTATTCCACTGTGGTCCAAGAGAGTATTTGATATAATTTCAATTTTCTTAAATTTATTGAGACTTGTTTTGTGGCCTATCATATTATATATCTTGGAGAAAGTTATATGTGCTGATGAGTAGAATGTATATTCTGTGGTTGTTGAGTAGAATGTTT